CATTCGTGTGGATTTTCTCATCAAAGTTCAACCCTAATTCCACCTTGTAGGTTTAATAGACGAATAAAATTTTTGTATTCAATTATACGCACCATCAACGGATTTTGGGACTGTCGTTCCAACACTATTCATCCCCCTCTAGGTCGTGCTTCTGTAGTTCCACAAGTATAATCTTGTCAGAGACAATCAAATTATACTTCCTCAAGGAAAAAAGAAGAAAAGGTGGAAACAACATAATGATAGACAGAGATTTATAAGTGGGGATTGTTGTTGTCATAGTCTATTAAAGAGTGGTCTTATTGAGCAGTTTGGGAATCGAGCAGAAGTGTTGAGGGCAATGTGGGTTGATCAAAGGGATGCGATAGAGATACTCTTTTTTTATTCCATGCACTATCACAGGGAAAGGAGGTGACAAGGTTCAAACCCGCGACCTTAAGGTCCAACAATGACGAATAGGCCTACCGCTAACCTCGCAATGGAGATATTCAGTTGAGAGAGAAACATTGGTTTTTGTTTAAGAGACTTTTTATTTTTATGTAGCCTTGAATTAATGGGGGGACATATTTCCTCCTTTTCTAGAGATATACTTTGACCAAGAACAAATTAGATAAATGCTAAGTTTATATCACAATCATATTCAAATAGTAATGTCATGCTCCAATTTTCACAAATAGACTTGAACTAATTATTATCCATCAAAGTATGAGACTATAACTAAAATACCATAAATTAAACCATTTCATTCACCAACATTCTTCATCTAAACCAACAATTCCAAAACAAGCAAAATTTAACCTTAAAAGATTACCTACCAAACCTTAAATAAAACCATTATTTCTAATAAACTAAAAAGAAATAATAAACATTGTTTCAATCATCCACCTTTTAAACTAAGATCGATCAATAATTTCTTAGGCTTTCAAAGTCAGATCCACCTCATGATCTGAGTCAAAGTCCAAGTCCAAATCCAAATCCACATGCTCACCTAAAGTTGTATTGCTTTGATACCAAAATATGAGAAAATGTTAGATGAAGGAGTGAGCGCAACTAGCTTAGTAGGAAAACTTTCCTAAACCTAAACAAGGTTAACAAAATGTATAAAAATAGGTTGGTCTCAAGTTACAAAATAAGTATATAAATTTCGAAGTAAAGAATTTGATATGTAATAAAGATCTCAAGTTTTGATGTATAAGTAGAAAAATCCATAAAATAGTGGAACTAATTCTCACAATAATAGATAATTATAACAAATATATATTATTTATGCAAGTTGACTAGCGTGAATCTAAACACCAAATATACCTGGTCCACACACATATGCACACAATCATATAGTCAATCCTCACAAGGATACACCATTTTAAGAAGCGTGTATACTATTGCATCATTATTGATGGAATTTTTTCATGGATAGTATACTAGACCCCATTCTCGATTCTCATGAGCGAGTAGTATGAATTCTTGGAACTTCGTAAGGAACCAAGCAACTCCACTATGGATGACAAGAAACCTTCAAATCCTTCAAAGTAAGAAACTCATGTAAGCAGTGTGCGATATACGTCCGAGTACAACCTATGTTCATCACACCCGCCCATACAACCTATGTTCAACTCCACTAAAATTCATGTATACCACAACTTATATTTCCACAATTCTCAAAATAGAAGAATACTTCAATTAAAACATACGAGAGATCGCCAAGAAACATTCTCAATTTGATACTATTTAAGAGCTAGGTTATTAACCATAAAAAATGTTATTTTATTATATTTAATATTTAGTTAATTTTATATTATTTGTGATTAAATGTATTAGATTCATTGATTCTCTAGTTTGATACTTTTTAAAATNTGAATTCTTGGAACTTCGTAAGGAACCAAGCAACTCCACTATGGATGACAAGAAACCTTCAAATCCTTCAAAGTAAGAAACTCATGTAAGCACTGTGCGATATACGTCCGAGTACAACCTATGTTCATCACACCCGCCCATACAACCTATGTTCAACTCCACTAAAATTCATGTATACCACAACTTATATTTCCACAATTCTCAAAATAGAANTCTCCTACTCGCCATAAACTTAATGATAAAGCAATTCATTGTATCTTTGTGGGCTATTGTTATCAGTCTAAGTGTTATAATCCTTTCACAGTCTAGATGTTACCTTTTTTGAGCATATTCCATATTTTTTNAAGAATACTTCAATTAAAACATACGAGAGATCGCCAAGAAACATTCTCAATTTGATAGTATTTAAGAGCTAGGTTATTAACCATCAAAAATGTTATTTTATTATATTTAATATTTAATATTTAGTTAATTTTATATTATTTGTGATTAAATGTATTAGATTCATTGATTCTCTAGTTTGATACTTTTTAAAAATTTTTGATTTATTTTGCATGTAATTTAGTTGATTTAAAGTAATAATAGACAATGTAAGTGAAACAAACAAAAAAAGGGTCATAGTTGAGAATTGGATATTTGATAAGGATTGAAGGGTCTAGATTAAAATATGAAGATTTAAAGATACTACATCAATTTAATCCTTATGAGAGTCTAAATTATTAAAAAAACTCATTTAGAGTTGAATTATTAGAGTACTGCAGAAGATAAAATTTTGACATGTCTTCAATATTTTGGTCATAATTTTTTATCCAATGTCCAGTTGACCTAAATTTTACGGCATTGAAAAAGAAGACTTCAAGAGTTATGAAAGTGTATTTCATGAAAATCAAATGAATCGGCCTTTAACTATGCGAAAATTGAAATTAAAGTTTGGACAAATACGTCCGCACCTCCATGATTTGATGCACGAATTTTGACCTAAAAAGACTCATATTTGGCAAGTACTTATTCCAAAGCCAACCCTAGCCACCCTAGTATATATATATAGGTTCTTTCTTTTTTTAGAGGAGAAAATTTTAGATCTCATCTTTTACATCTTTCTTTATTTTTTTTGTCTATCAGTTATTAAATCCTCAACTAAAGGTAGGGGTAAATCTTTTAATGAAGTATGAGATTTATATTTGATCTATTAATCTTTAATGCATGATTTTTCTTATTAATTGATTATAATATTTTAGTAAAGTTTTTGTTTTGTAAAATCTCTTGATTTGTTGTGCCACGTACATCAAATGCTTGAGATTCCCTACGAGTCAAATAATCGATTTTGGATGGTTAGATCAATTAATTAGAATATATATGAAAAATAATTGATTTCTTTTTTATGATATAAAAAAGATTTCCTTTATTGGAGATCTTGATTCATCGTCGACTTCGAACATAGTGAATGTTTGTGATCTACAATTAAATACTAATTTCTATCCAAAAGAATTTATCTATTATATTTCTGGATTTATTTTTAATATTATCACCACTAAATCTTCTGATTAAGATCACTCCTCATCTGATTCTTAATTGAGCTTAAAAATTGAATTAGGAATAAATATTGTGCAGAGTAGCAAGGGAATCCTTGTTGCTTTAGTATCCAATTATTGTTTTAAACCAAAATTTCATTGTTTTTTCAAAACCAATTCAATCAAAGCATTTGAAACAATTTATCTTTTTTTATTGTTCATGTGCTCCATGTTTACACCAATTCTCTTTGGTTCGACTTCGGACACCTAACTATTCATTACTTCCCACAATATACACTTAGGTGGTCAATTCTAAAGCTGTATCACAAGGTTTTTTGGATAGAAATTATACAATTTGAATGTAAATTATGTAAATTTTCAAGGAACAAATCATGTAATTGCCAAGAATGTGAAATCATTATAGATATATCATATATATTAGAATCGGAATCAAAAAGTTATATTACTTAACCCTAATCCTCAATAATAAGAATGAGAAATAACTCCTATCTTAATCCATAAATAGTAGATCCTAACGTATATTGATGCAATTACCACATGTTAATCCTTCAAGATCTAGCCATTTTCTCCCCTATTCCTTATGTCAAAACTCTCCTATGTTTTTTAGGGTTGAAAAATAGGTAAAATGACCTCAAAACAAGTCCTTATGTGTTTATAGAGTCAAGAAATGGAGAAAACCCTAATAGTTGATTGAGTCTGCTTTACTAAGGCATTTGGATGGTTAGGGAAGACATCTGAACGGTGCTTATTATTTCTCTTTTATTCCAATCAAAGCACAATTTTATTTTTTTGATCGCGTCTAGACGTCTGCAAAACTATCTGGACACTGGTGACTTTCTGTTCTAGACTTTTAGCTTGATTTTGAATTAGTTAGAGGCCTATTCATAAAAAAAAAAAGAAATATGAAAAACACTTTCTAGTTCAGTCAACTTTCAAATGCTGTAAGAATAAGATTAATTAGATATTAGGGAAAAAAGTTATGACAAAAATATTAAAGTAATGTCAAATTTCTTCCTATTCAAACCCCGAAACACCTCCAAACTTTTAAATATTGCTCATATCATTTATCCTAAAGTTTCTCGGCCACCCGAATTTAATGATAATATTTTTTTAATTAAAAAATATTTAAAAACTTATCTAATTTCTCTCATCGTTTTAAATTTAACTTATTTAGGGATAAATTTGCTAGGATGGTTGAACTTCGTAGTTATTGACACCTATCGAGTTTTCGTGTCATTTTTCATAGAACATGGGTACTAGTACGTCTTTTTGACAAAATTAAGTGGCGGCTTGAATTTTATCCAAACATTAAAAATTGTACGGAAGTCAATTTTCCTATTTCTCTCGGTGATTTATTACCTGCAAGGCTGCAACGCGCTTTCTATCTCATTTCCTCTCTCACTTTCTCTCACACACACACAACCTCACTCACTCTTTGCAATACACAAACCCGACCTATCTTTTATCTTTCTCTCTTAGCATTTGTAGGGTTCCTAATCTTGGTATCAAAGATCAGACAAGAAAGCTAATCTTTTGAAACTCTGGTTGATTGATTGGCTGTCGTACGGGGGCTTGAATTTCAAAGCATCTCTTGTAAATTTCACGTAAAGCAAAGCCATGGACGCCGATTCGTGGAGCGCTCGTCTCTCTTCTGCTTCAAAGCGATATCAATCGGCTCTTCAATCTCGATCTAGTAAGCCCGGAAGTTCTTTCATCTAGGGTTTGTTGTTTGCAATTTTATTTTTATGTCTTTGTACATGTGAATATTAGGTTATGAGTGGGAATCGGATGGTTTTGATGCAGATATGTTAATGGCGTTTGAAGAACTTGATGCAGATGACGATATAAGGGAAGAGTTTCCATGCCCATTCTGTTCCGAGTACTTTGATATCGTTGGATTATGTTGTCATATCGATGACGAGCATCCCATAGAGGCGAAGAATGGGGTATTAATTATTACATTTCCAATAATATGATTTTTTCTTTTTTCACATCTAATGGTAAAGTGGTCTAATTTCAGATCATTCACATGAATATTAGAATCTTTCTCTGTGTTTTGGATCTTCTTTGAATGCATCAGAAGAACAAGTTTTGTGGTTTGTTTGTTGGTTAGGGGAAACTTTTGTGGTTGGTGCTTAGCTAGTTTCATCAATAGTTTTTCATTCCCCAAGTTTAACATATGTATTAGTTTGCCCTGTTGCTGATTGTTGGGAGGGATAAGGAAATATTTTTAATTTTTTTGTTTCTATTAAGAGATGAGGCTATGTCCAAAAGCTTGTGATGTCAATGATGGATTTTGAATGTATGTTTACATTGGTTTGAATTGAAATGCGTATGTTTAGAAGCTGATACAGGGTTATAGGATGCTTCTGGATTCTCTTCACCAGTTGAATCTTGATTTTGGTTTGCTAAAGAGTAAGGATCAAAATATCATTTCGAAATGGTCGAAATATACGAAACGTTTCCGTTTTCAAGGAGATCGAAACAAATTAGTGATGGAATCGAAATTCTAAAACTTCAAGGAGTTTCATAATGTTTTGAAATGTTTTGTTATATTTCAATGCATTTGCACAATTATTTCAAAATATTTTAACGATATTTTGGTAGATTTCGACCAATATTTTGAAAAAAAAATTCTTAAATTTTTTTATTTTTTTTCATTCTGTTTTCAAAACGTTTCCGAAACATGTCGAAANAACGATATTTTGGTAGATTTCGACCAATATTTTGAAAAAAAAATTCTTAAATTTTTTATTTTTTTTCATTCTGTTTTCAAAACGTTTCCGAAACATGTCGAAACGTTTCTATTTCCTAAGTGACCAAAACAATGCGCCGAAATGAAATTTTGATCCTTGCTAAAGAGTGACTTAATTGTAGTAAGGTTTATTTGACAAAATGAGGCCATTCGTTGCAGGAATGTCCAGTTTGCGCAGTGAGGGTGGGGGTCGACATGGTTGCCCATATAACACTGCATCATGGAAATATTTTCAAGATATCCTTTCTACGGTGGCAAAGTGTCATAATTTTGGGGATTTGAATGCTTTCATGTGCTTTTCTTAAGGTGTTGTTTGGAAATGTTTATGGTTTTTTAAAAAATTGAAAACAGAAACGGTTTTTTTTTTTTGGGTAAAAAAACAAAATCATAAATCTTGTTTGGTTGCATTTCTTGTTGTGGAAAAAATATAAAAACAGAAAGAGAAAACTTGTTTGGTAAACAGTCCACTTCCTTGCAAGGTTTACTGTCCAGTAATTTTCGTATTTCGCACAATGATCATTTTTTGCCATCTGTAAAGTGTAATTTGACCCGTTTGAAAATTTTTCGACTGCCATTGAATTCCTTAACAAGAGGCTACATGCAGCGGAAGAGGAAATCCCGAAAAGGTGGGTCCAATTCAACACTATCGTTGTTGAGGAGGGAACTGCGAGAAGGAAATCTGCAGTCCCTTTTTGGAGGGTCTTCCTATGTAGTTCCTTCAACCAATGTGGCAGCTGACCCATTATTGTCATCATTTATTTTGCCTATGTCTGATGATTTTGTGAGTGCCCAATCTCAGTCTTCAGCTGATGCAATCTCTGTGAAGAAAAGCATGAATGAGTCTATTTCAGAAAGGTATGGGATGGCTTTCTTAACTATTTACCCCCCTAATAGTTGGATATGTTTCATTTGTTCAGTTTAGTTATTTTGCTACAAATTTCTGCAAAACCTGATCCAAGGAACTTAAATAAAAATAATGTTTATGAGAAAGGAAAAAAGAAAAAGTTTTAATTGTGTGTAAATTCACTTAATATGTTCCAAAGGAAAAAAAATTTAGGTAAGGTGTTTAGCTTTCTTAATTTGTGTTAAATAGTATTCTGCAAGTTGGCTTCGTCAAAAGTAAATACAGCATGGGTAATTTATCAAGATTTAGCTGATACTTCTAGGCACTGACTTTATAGGCAGATACTGCAGAAAGAAGCAACTTCACAGACCCACCTTAACAACNAGTAAATACAGCATGGGTAATTTATCAAGATTTAGCTGATACTTCTAGGCACTGACTGTATAGGCAGATACTGCAGAAAGAAGCAACTTCACAGACCCACCTTAACAATCATAAATGCTCATAATGATGCCGCCTGTTGTACCTTGTGAGTCTGACATATTTACATGCTGTTATATGTTAATTTGAAACTACGAACTCTTTTTATTGAATTCACACTTTTAAGAGCTAAAACTGACGAATTTAAGCTCAAGATTGCTCGAATACAAGAATTGCATTTCTCGGTTAGAGGTGGGACATGATATTAGGCTAAATCTTTCATTTAGAAGGAAATTTTTTCTATTTGTACATAATTGGATCATCGATGTGTGTTTTTTCAATCAATTTTACTTGCACTTCTAGGCAGGAAAATAAAGATAATGTTCTTGAGTTATCTCACCTTTGACTGCATTCCTAGTTATATCAATAGTTAAAGTAAAGTTAATTCCTACTTTGTAGACTTAATTATAGTTAAAACCCGTAGTGAAGCTGATTGCAGCCGTTGAATGTTCATTACTAAAAGATTAATTTTGAAAAATGGAAAAATAAGGTGGAAAAATGTGTTCTCGTCAGCATTTAGGGGTTGGATCAGTGTTATTTAAGGCGTAAAGTGAACCGAAGCGACTAAGGCTCCTGAGGTCTAGCCGAGAAGCGAGAGGCGAAGCAAAACGCTTCATCAAAGCGAAATGAACAGTAAAGAAAATAAGTAAATATTTTAGTTTAATTACTTCTATATATCCAAGTTCTAATATCTTAAATTCTAATATTTAAAAACGTAAGACACGCGATTCAAGCAACATAAAATTAGAAGCAGAATCAGAATAAGCAGTGCAAAATCAACATTAGAACTGTAGAAGGAGCAGAACTGTAGAAGCAGTAGAACCATAAGCAAAGAACATACTAGCTGCCGAAGAAGAAGGCGGAAAATGGCATAGAAGCAGAAGGAAATCACATACCTTAGTATTCGAAGAAAAAACAGAAGTAGCAGTAGCACTGTAGAAGCAGCTAGAACTAGGCTGTATTTTCTATAGAAGAAGCGAAATAGAGAAGAATTAAAAAAAAAATAGAAGATGAAAAGAAGAAGAAAAAAAGGAGAGAAAAGAAAAATATTNTATAGAAGAAGCGAAATAGAGAAGAATTAAAAAAAAAATAGAAGATGAAAAGAAGAAAAAAAGGAGAGAAAAGAAAAATATTTGGGATTCTGCTGAAGAAGAAGACAGAAGCAATAACAAAATAACTTTTTGTCACAGAAGAAGAAGAAGAATCAAGAAGAGAAAATGAGAAGAAGCAAAGAAACAGAAAAGAGAAGAAGAAGAGAGGCCAGGGGGCAAACCTGTCGGAACTTCTTCAGGAAGGAGCAGTAACAACAACGACCAAGCAACTAGTAGTTTCTATCGCAAATTTAGGGTTTGGGTTTGTATATATTGGGATAAGGGGGCAATTGGATGTATGGGTATCTCATAATTTTGTTCCAATTGCCACAATCCAACGGTCCATAACAAAAATAAAATAATCCAACGATTTATAATAAAAAAATAAAACAACTTAAAAAACTTAACAGAGGCGTCGGTTTTCTCGCTTTTTCCTCGCCTCAGCTATATTCACTTCGCCTGGGGTGCTCAAGGCGAGAGACCTTGGCCTCGCCTCGCTAGGTGACGCCTGGACGAGCTTTTCACAACACTGGGTTGGATATAGAAAGATGCTTCCAACCCNCTTCGCCTGGGGTGCTCAAGGCGAGAGACCTTGGCCTCGCCTCGCTAGGTGACGCCTAGACGAGCTTTTCACAACACTGGGTTGGATATAGAAAGATGCTTCCAACCTCTACCAACTCTCCGGTAAAATATTGGTCATTCTATATATATCTATAAATATATTGTCACTACGATTTTTTCGTTTTCACAAACCATCTAGGCTTCTATGAGTAATTTATGAAGAAGAAAGACTCAATACTCGTGTTAGAATGGTACCATTTGTGTTTCAGTTTTAGCACTTGTGCCTCCATTCCCATGACTAATGTGTTAATTCAAGGGCCATTTATTATTTGATTTGTTTTCCATTACAGTTATTAAATTAATATAAAATGGTTTCAATAATCTATTTTCATTTTGAAGCATCCAATCCTTGTGATACTCTTACACTGCGACCAGGACTAGCACTGAACTTAAAATTATGATTTGCACTCTTATGACCGCTTCATGTAAATGTGTTAAAAATGTAGTTATGAATCAAAATGGTTGATAACTGAATAACATAATTTATGGTACTGGAACTCTCTTGATAAAGTCGGCTAAAGTTGGAATTTGGTGGGTTTGGATGGGTCAAATTCAGGTTGGCTGTAAACTGACCAACCTTGAGCTCCATTTGTTCCTGATGTAATACAAGATCTCATGCAATACCAACCAAATTGTAGGTAACCAAAAAATGCTAGGGAGCATTTTTTTCTCCTCGATATTTAGTCTAGTTTTTCCTGAAAAATTCTTTTCAGAAATAACCATGTAGAATGAGCTGAAAATTATGAGATAGAAGTTATTGGGGAAACATGGACGGAAATGCAGATAGGATAGAAAATGAAGAGATTAGTCACTAGTAGATACATCATATGCAGATGCTCTGAGGTGAAAGTCTTACTTTTTTAACTTATTTTGTGGGAAGCCAATGAGTATTTATGTTCTTAAGGTTCAAATTACAACTTATGATGGATACATGCATCTCATTATGATAAATATCTTAGTGAGGTAGGTATGTCCAGAGTCTACGGAGCACTGTTACTGATACTGACATCGGACACATACATGCTGATGCAGGGAATCATATAAAAGTAGGACACTAACATGACAAGGTTGCGCTGCAATACGAGAATTAGTGTTTTTAGCTATACGTATTAAAGTTTACAAGTTATACGCAATTGCATAGGCAAAACTAACTATCGTCATATGATAATTAAAACTTATTTTTGACACTGCAACATAGATTTTTTGTCTACTTAATCTTACTATTTAGTAATTGCTTGTTTTTTATAGATAAATAATGCAAGCAAAAGGTCAAAGAGACTGAGACAAGTGTTTGAAATAATGATTTTATGTTTTTGTTATAGTTCTTATGAATATGGTCATAACAGCGATGGAACACGTACATGGCTCCTCCATGTAGGTGTGCATATGTTTTTAAATCCATTATAAATTGCATTACTGAAGTTGGAGAATTTTGGCAAACAATAAGAAACTATTCTCTACGGCTAGACGTATTGCAGTTAGAGGGCACATTTGGCATGAAGTTTATAATAAAAACGCAATTCTTGAAGTTGTATTTGCTGTCGTGCCCTAAAATTTAAGTGATTCGTTGAAATTTTTCTTTTTTTTTTTGGGGGGGAGGGGGGAGGGAGATCGAATTAAACTTTAGTAATGCTATAATATTATTAGCTAATCAGTCTCTCTTCATGTTGCTTTTCCTTCGTTTTCCTCCTTCGTTTTGTTGTTCATCCCCACTCTTTTTGAATAATAAATTTGACCTTAATTCATTTTAAAAAATTCATAATAAAACTAGTAACAAACCACATTAAAAGATATTATAACTTCAAATCACAAGTGGAATAAGGTTGAATCATTTGTATTATGAGTCACTTTTAGTTATCAATGTTATCTGGATTGTGGTTCGCTTTGGTACTTGGTATGGGTACGGGTACAGGTATAATGTACGATACTTTTTTAGGTATGTGGTACGATAGGGGTAGGTTTAGTTGGTACGGTATTTTGGGTTATAATTTATTTTGGAACTCTTATATAGATCGTTTTCACTGCCATACAACATTATATATTACAGAACATTTATAAACACTAGGTTAGTTACCATTTATCTTATAGTTGTGTTTTATTTTTTATTATCTAAAACAATATATAATTATAAATCTATATACATGTAGTCAATTAATATATTTTTTATATTTGTGTGACATGTTCTAAAGCGAATTGAGTTAGTTTTAGTATTACAATTTGGGATTNTATTATCTAAAACAATATATAATTATAAATCTATATACATGTAGTCAATTAATATGTTTTTTATATTTGTGTGACATGTTCTAAAGCGAATTGATTTAGTTTTAGTATTACAATTTGGGATCGTCCATTTTAGTGATATGGATCGCGAACTCACCTCGTTAGGGATTAATGTACCCAGATCGTGGGTTGTTAAAGGTTTAGTGAATTGTGGTAACCATGGTCAGGGTTTTCTCTTGTAAAATGAAAAATTTTAATGGCTTGAAGTGGACACTTGTGCAACACCGTCTCCTGGAATGCCCATCCTCTTTTTTTTTTTGGATAATTTTATACATCAAGCACTTATCTTGTTTTCATTCTCTCTGTGCACAATGCACCATAGGGTCATCTGAAGAATAGTTGAAGAAGAAAGCCCCAATCCTTTTACTGGAACAACACGATATTTTGCAGTTTTGCCCTTACCTTTTAAGTGGTGGCTGATCTGTGTGAATCAATATCTGCAAGTCATTCGATTTTTTTTTCCCTGCCTAATAAAGAATTAAGATGCAAATGGTTTAGATATTAATTTTCAGTGGGACTTGATCAATTGCCCATGATGCATTGGAGTTTGAGATTGACTCCTGATTGGTAACCATAATATAACCTAGCTGAACCTGTATTATATTTGTTTTAATTTTAGCTCAAGATACAACTATTTTCAAACAAGATATTTGTTACATCAGGTTCATTCTTCGTCGTAACAACTGAAAGAGTTTGAATTGGGTTGGGTTTGGATGAGTTAAATTCGTCTTATCTATAAACTGATACCCCTGCATTTCACATGTTGGTAATGTGGATTGGATACCGGGAATCCCATCCAATGTGAAACAACTTGGAATTAGCCAAAACCTCTATCCCGCGAGTACAATTTAGCAATCCTCAATATTTCCTCAAGTTTTTCCCATAAGAAGAAAAATTACAACAAAGAAACTAGTAAATATTAGATTGAAATTTCAAGATAATAGTTCTTGGGGCATGCTTCAAGAAAATGCCCATGTCGCATGGCCAAGTCGGTTTCGGATTCTCTTGACTTTGTGGACATTCCATTGTTCTTGATTAGAGCGGATTGGAAATTCATATGTGATATGTAACTTGTTTCTCTCTTCCGTTAATTGGAGGATAATTTTATTTCATGTTATGAACAAAATTCTTTGTTGTTGATCAGGGAAAAAAATAATAACCAGCTCCACTTGTACAGAGTCCACTAAGCTTTCTGTTTTCATGAGAAATGGCAATATGATGAATATCTCAATATCAATGAATCACATTAGAGTTCATTAAGTCTGTGGCTCTTGATAAAGGTAAACATGTGTAAATTAACAACA